TAAATGTATATGTACAGCTGGTTTTTATATTGACACCATAAGCATCAATAGACCCCATATGTTTACCAGTATTAAAGGATTACACGCAAATATCAAGACAATCTTTGAAGCTTCCATACTGTTGAGGCGTCATACTCTCATTAACATTAGTTGCAGATCAACTTCACACTGAATACGTTTACATTAAATGAAGTATTGCAAATGTGTGACTTAGAAATTGATCCATAATCTCAGTAATGTCTAATGAGCATAGTTTTATGAATCCTACAGAAATTACATTCTCATATTTAGGAATCTATAGCCATCAAATATAAGCTGAACATGCTTCAACTCTAAGCAACTATGCACAGTGTTAGCAGCGTAGAGAAACACTTAAAATATTGTAAGATACGCAGACCTGTTGCGTTGATGAGGATAACAATGACATATAATGCAACCTAGACATTCGATCGTGACACTGCATCTATACTGCTTCATGTTAATGGAAAATTCAGGAAAAATTCATCACCACTACTGGTGATCAAAAACCTTGCAGAATTAAGTTTACAGTGCCAGTGAGAACGGCATAACAGACAGTAGATTGATAGTAATAGAGCTGACTAGATTCAGTTCTCATAATCGACACAATTCATGTGTATAATAATACTATACACTGAATTAATGAACTAGGTGGCACAGTAAGGAAATTCAAACGAGTGATCGCCTTCTCCACTGCATCGCACTTGCAATAATCATGACAACCACCTACGTTTGCTAGCCAAGCAGTCAGCTAAGCAGACAATGGCACAATAATAATAAAGTTGAGATATTTTTTTATACATTGAGTCCACATAACTCATATCACGCTACACCAAACAGTGCAAATATACATGAAATCCACTTAGAAATAACCTCTCAACTTACGATAATTCCTGTCCAAATATACATATGGTGAGACAAATCCACATGATTACTTCTATTCCCACAGAAGGTTCTGTTAGCATTTACAGGTGATTTCGAAGTACTGATAGAATTCTTTTGTCACAAAGGACTGTTGTTCACACGAAAATAGGCTGAATTAATATCCTGAGACGTGAAGTCTCCATTGAATGATACCATGACGAAAGGTGCAGCATCTGAATACAGTAGATTATTTGTGTAGATGAAATTACCCTTCAACTATCCTATCTTTCTCACTATAGCGATATTTTGCTTCAGTTCGCCTGAAACACTGATCGTTGCAACCAATATGCTAGGGGGTGTCGCAGTCAGATTACATGACGCGGACACAAAAATAACAGGCCAGAAAAGAGGAATTCTCATCAATCCAGATAACATATAACGCAATTTCATTAAAAATTATTGACAAAAAAAATTTCCAAGGGAAATTTTAACAGCGCTACTAGAACATGGCATTTAACGTCTACCGTGATTTTGTTGGTTTGTGTGCGACGTCAACTCCTAAAGGTTTCAAGAGTCTTGTGGTGATTTCTGAGATGTCATTTATATATGGTAGGGCGATTTTTGTGCTTTCCTTGGGGCCTTTTGGTTTGATTGGTTGGCTTGGGGTTATATGTCTTTTGATGAAGTTCCGCGGATAGCCATTCTTTTGAAAGACTCCCATGAGATATCTTTCTTCAACTTTCCTTAAGTCCTACTTAAGGAAAGTGCTGCAATGAGTCCTGGTTCTCTTGAATAGTGTTTGTATACAATTCCTTTTGTCTGTTTTTGGATTGTTGCTGTTGTAATTCAGTATTTGGTCTGAGTGAGTTGATTTTCTATGAACTTGAGTTTCTAATTCCCCTGTGGTTGTTTGCATAACTGAGACGTCTAAAAATGAGATTTTGCTCTCGGATTCCTCTTCTCTTATGAATATGATGTCGTTGAAGACGTTGTTTATTAAGTTTTGAGTTTTATCCAACTTGTTTCTTTTGATCATTATGACTGTGTCATCTGCGTAACGCATCCAAATCTTGGGTTTTGATCTTTAGTAGAATTATGTTTTCGGGCCTTTGCATCACTGCTTCTGCAATCAAACCTGATGTTGGGTGTCCCTTTAACTTGTCCATATATTTGGCTGTTGAAATGAAAGTACGTTTTCAGGCATAGGTTTATGCATTCCATCCAACTTGTGTGTTGCATTTTTGATTGTTGTGAGAGGTGTTTATCGTTGCTGAGTAACTGGTCAGTGGTCTCTTCTGCTAGTTTCTATCCCTTTGAGGTATATAATTCTGTAACACCGAAGGATACCATTATTTCTTGGTCATCTATTTGAACGCCTCTGATTTTCTGTAGAAATTGGATAGCAGTTTGATGGAGTGGTCGCAGGAATCTGTTAGGTGTTTAGCGGTAGGTAATTCCCCAGAAATACTGACCACAGTATTCATCACTGAACATTGGATGCTGACCCTCACTGTTTTAGTTGATTTATTTAGCTGAAGGCATATGGCCAAGCATCCACACCAATTGATACACCTTAGTGTTAAGTTCGTTCGTTCACGAGTCCTAGGTAGTTCAGCAATCATCTCGCACTCCGATTTGGTCCCGAAATATAATTCGTAATTTAAACGATCAATTCTGATGTTTTGCTTTGCTTTTGGTCTCTGCAGAACGAATACCAAAGAAGTTGTGGATATTAGATCTTGCGTGAACATACTTCGTACTATCCGCGGACGCCAACACCCTTAGCCTCGGAAGGCATTCCAATTTTCTGTTCCTTGGGTAAATTGCATGTTGGGGTTCCTGGGAGTGAAACAGTTGGTCGCAACGAGATATTTGGCTTGTGTATTTTGGGACTGCCACAGAATCGGAGTAGGACTGGTCCACTGGATTTCATTCACCATTACTCTTGCTTTGTGATCCGACATGTTTTGGTGAGCTTGTTTAAGGTTCTTTGCATGCGGCTGTCTAACGTTGGTATGGGATTTGTTTTGATCTGTTGACACACATCCTCATCTTTGAGTAGCTCTTCAGCTTTCTTGGTGTATTCTTCTTTGTCAATGGCTACTGTGGTTCCTCCTCTGTCGGCTGCTGGAATGACGAAATCCTTCCTAATTTTCAGATTCCTGAGAACCTTTAGTTCTTGACAGTTGAATTGCTTGTGTTGTTTTTTCTGTTTGACCATCGGTACGATTGTTTGCTGCATCTATTCTTGTGTTTCCTCGTTTGAGTTTGATGATTTGAGTGATGATTCAAGGGCAGCTGAGAAATCAGTTTTTGAAGCGTCTTCACTGTTGTAGTTTAATCCTCTTTGTAGCAGTTGTTGTTCCATTTTTGATAGTGGTTGTTCTGATAGGTTGACTACGCGGTCGATAGATGTATTGTCTGTTCGTTGTTTTCTGATTTTGACCATTCGTAACCACGTTGTTCGGCCAATTTCCCTCTCATTGGACAGTTGACTGGTGGTTTGTATCTGAAAGTGGTTGGTAGGATTTGATGACGGAGGCACTCATGGAGAAAGAATAATTGTTCTATGATTGATCGTTGCCTTTTGGCGAAGTCTTCCCACTTTCGAACAGAAAGAGGCGTGTTCAGCCAGTAAGATTTAGATATGACGGAGAAAATTTGTAGCTCAAATTGTTAATAGACACATTGACATCGACAAAATTTAACAATTAATAAGAAGGAAATCTCACGCATGGAGGGTCAAAGTTCAGGTCAAGTAAACAATTAGAACCAGTACAAGTAGCCTAGAGGGTTTGAACACACACAAAATCGACCAGTCACGTTCCAGGTTATCAGAATCGATGACTAATAAACTCGTGGTGAAATCTAAAAGCTTACTTCGAACTGAAGTATGCTATGAAGCTGGTACATTTGGCAAATAACACTTAATCATCTGGCGAATGATCCGAATTTGAAGAAGCTTTTTGTGCTGAACAACAACCCTCACAGCAAAAGAAACCTACGTGAAGTCGAATGTAGCTCTCAAACATTCCGGGAGTGCTGCTGATAAAGTGCCTTAGAGAAGGAAGTTCATGAAACTGGAATGCTTCTGAATCGGGGTTGTCCTACTAACCTTGATCAAGGCATTTCTCATAAGTAAGATAAATGTAAGGATCAACTCCAAACTTCCTATCTGGACAACGGTACGCAGTGCTGTTACTGATCTTGGCCCTCTCTTATCAACTATGCTCATTAACGAATTGCCCGGGACCATCAAATGTCCTCTGATTGTCTGAGAAATTGGAGACTGGCATTCTTACGTTGCAAACACGTCACATCTGTTTTAAACTGGTGCAAATAATAGACGCTCGTCATCAGCCCAGCAAACTGAACAGTCACAAACGTTATGCAAACAAGTATTAGCATTCCCGACATGTGTGGAGTACCACTTGATTCCGTTCGGATGTGTAAGGGTCTAGGTGCCATCGTGAGGAATCACCTGAAGAACTGGGGTATGCTGTCAAGCAGTAACAGCTCACTAGTTGTAATTCTTATGAGTAATAAGCACACACTTCACTAAAGACGTCAGAGAGGTGTCTAGTAATTTACACACGCCCCTGATTAGATAAAAACTAGAAAGGCTTCAAATAGAATGGCCGAACTTAACTTCTGGTATGACCAACTTATCACAGTAGGAAAACTTAGCAGCCTCAATGTCTCCTACTCACTAGGCAGCTTACAGAGAAGGAGAGAACCATAGTTCCAAAAATAACCACTAACATTACCTATTTCCTGTTTTCCTTTCCAGTCAGTCGAGTAAACTCAGTGGATGTACCACCAGAGTCCTGAAACAAGGGGAAACTATACGACTGTGGGATGCTTGTTTGCCCATCTGACCATCGAGTTGTGGAACCGACTCCCAAAAGAAGTAGTATCTTAGCTGACTAGTCCAGAAAGGGCCTAGATTAGCACAGACACTAATTAAGAAATGGGTCAACTTTTACTCGAAACCCCCTGTCTTCAATAGAAAGCCTTAACCTGAAGAACTGCAAGGACCACTCCGAAACAAAAAGCAATGAGGGCCAAGAAATAATCAAGTTTATGCAGCTGGTCAAAAAAGATAACGAATAGTGAGTGTCAGCGCCACTTATGCCTGCTAGCGTTACACCTGCAAGATTCACAATTTCAGTTCTGCAAGTTTTGATTTGTTGTTGTCTTCCATGCCCACTTAATTAATGTCTCCATTACTGAAAGTGGAAAATGGAAGACTCAATGTAAATCTTTTCCCTAAGAATGAGGTTTCAGTCCGTAATCATAATTGAGTGTTACAACACATTTAATGAGAAACACAACTATTCTAATACTAGTATTTGTTCGTTTTACGTGCGGGTTAAAGTCAAATTTCCTAATTAATGAAGGTATATCCTCAGCAATGCGAATTAAATATTTTCTCCCAGGTAGCATTGCTTTCAGCTGTACTAGTACAGCAGCTGCAGTAACTTCGGGACCACTATAGAAAACTGTCTCACTTTTTCCAATGCTCGCCAACGTTTTAACCCGAAAATTCCGTAGTGAAGTTGAAGAGAATGATAGATGCGATAGCTACAGCATCTGATTCGGGGGCACTGCAGAAATGCTGGGTGCACTTGAGGAAACGCCTCAACGTCGTCATTATGTCTCACAATACGATGTGAACGTGAGGTTTTCCGCCCCCAAATTTTTGCAGTGCACTCGATGCTTTTGCTAGCTGGGTTGATTATTACATATACTCCGTCCTGTAACAACCAAAGCTTAATCCCAGTATCATTTTTGGCTGACTGACTGGTTTCAACATGGAACTTTGCACCGATGTGTAGCAGTTCGAGTCGCCACACTTCACCCAGCACAAAAAGCCAGATAAGACAGTAGAAAACGCAAAATAGAGGCAGTGCAGAGAGATGTGAGGCATAAAGAATAGTAATATCGAAGAAAAAAGTAGTTTTATTTATTGGAAATTATAAGTCGCAAATAGCGAATGCTTCTGCGCCACTGCGAACGACTTTAAGCCATATCACCAATTGTCTCTAACCCTTGGTGTTAACCAATGGCTGAAGTAAAAATAAAATAACCCACTTGAATGGAAGTTTTTGATCGCTTGCGAAGACAGAATATTCATGTTTCTTCTCTTTGGTATAATTGTGGCAAATTTTGAATCTTCATTTCTCTTAAATCGGTTGCTTTGGAGGCATAGTACTGTTTCATATAAGTCTTATGGTTAAAGTACATTGCTGGCGATTTTGTGCAGTTGTTATTACTAGTAGAGACATTGATTAAATTTCCTCAGACGATGAAAATATACAGTAGTGAGCTCAATAGTTTGACATCATGCAGGACCACGTAGGATATATTTGTGTAATCACAACAACCAAATAATTATAAAAAAGCGAGAACTGTGTACACATATAGAGAAGTAAGAGTAATTGTCATCAGTGACATCTAGTGAAATGGGGACAACTTCACACAGTTATGTACAAGATGTAAACTTTGATTACACAAGCACTTTTACTTTCAAGTGCCTAGCTTACTAACTAATTATATCTTTAGCGATCAAAATTAAAGATACCAACGATCCAATCAAGTTAAGCCACACAATTCACGACTTATTTATGAATTTCTAAAATGTCAGTTCATCCAAACACAGTAGGTTGAAGTATTTAGTGAAATGTGCTTAGTTTCTTAGTATTCCCAACATGCAGTTCATCATTCTTTTTTTCAGTACTCAAGACTGAGAAACTCACTTGAACTCCAGGAAGTAAAACATAAAGCATTAAATTGATCAATTAATAGAGTTTAAAGTATTTAAGACATGCTTTGATTTTGGAAGCTAATCTTCTAGCATCAGAATAATTTCCTAATTCTGTATATCAGGTAAAAGTTTATGAGCTCAGTCTCCACGAAATTATATAAAATTGGTTGAGATCCTCAGTCATGTTAAGAATGGGCATAATCTTCATTGTTTTGTTCCCTAGTAATATTAGAAAGTTCTTATCATTGCTCTTTAAAATTAGAGATGTCCTTTCGTTTCCATCAAAAGTCGTGTTAATAATTAACCTTTCACGATACCTATATCAAGTTTCTCCATTCACCTAGCCATGGACATGTATAGCTATATATTAACTGTTTTAACACTATTTAGCATTAAAACCACCTGCCTCCCATGCTTGAGAAAGATATGCTTTTCACCTAGTAGACCAGTCACAATAAATTATTTTTTGACTCCTTTGGGATAAACTTAAAGGGAATATGCTTTAATTGCATGAGTGTAGTGAACTTCTCAATGTATGAAGGTTCCCACTTAAGATGTTTGATATATGGTTGTCATCGTCAGAACCAGTTCTACGGTATATACATAAAAACCGAAATTTGTTTTCACAAAACCATGCTTCTAAATTACAGTAGCAGGTTACCGTACTTATGTGATATCATTAAGTTTTGGTGTGAGGCTGTAGTAACTAAAACTGGACTACGTCGACTCCTAGCTTAGTGATAGGGAGTGAAGTGATAGAACATGTTGACCACTTCACCTATTTAGGAAGTTGTATCAGCACCAACGGATTGATTGGTGACGAAATCTCAGCACGGATCCAAAAAGCTCGGGCTACTTTCGCTAACTTACACCGCCTCTGGCGTAGGCGTGACATCCGGCTATCAACCAAGGGACGTGTGTACTGCTCAGCAGTTCGCTCCGTCCTTGTCTATGGCTCTGAAACATGGCCAATACGAGTTGAAGACATGAAAAGGTTGACTGTTTTTGATCAGAGATGTCTACGATCTCTTTCTCACGTTAGGTGGCATAATAAGGTAAGTAATGTTGACGTTAGGCGTAGAGTGTTGGGCAAGGAGGGAAAATCAATCGAAGAGGCTATAAAGTTACATAGATTGAGATGGTTACGTCACGTGCTGCGCATGCCTAACTATCGCCTCCCCCGACTTGCATTACTAGCTGATATAGGTGCAGGTTGGAAAAGGGTAAGTGGTGGTCAAACAAAAACATGGCATCAATCCATGATATCCTTGACTGTTAAACTAAGTCAGGTAGGGAGATGCAGACTTCCGGGTTGGGGCCCTCGGGACTCTAAGAATCAATGGCTGGAGACAATAGGTGACATGGCTCAAAATCGTTGTCAATGGCTTACTCAGATGTATTCAGTCTCTGTAATTTTTCATATTCCTTTCTACCATTACTCATTCTGTTTCACTCTTATACTTGTTAAAACTCTATTGAATCTCTTCACTCATTTTCTTGTCTACCTTTGTGTGCTATTTGGAACGTGGCAACTCGAACTGCTGCACTTCGGTGCCAAGTTCTATGTTGAATCCAGCCAGCCAGTAGCTAGAACAGCGTTAATTCCTCCCCCTTTTTGAATGTATTTATGCTACTGTGTTCACATCCCTTAATACAAAGTTTCCTTTGTTAAAATACAGACTTTGTACAATATAATCATTTAAAGATGCTTCATACTTCATATGTGGCTTCATATGACTTTATGTGATCGACGTGCTCAATAAGGCATAAACAAAAAGTCATATTCGGCATATTTGGTAAATTTTGTGAACACGAAGAATTTGTAGATGAGTTCATACGTCTTATGGCAATTCTGTACCTATTCTTCTACCTCAAGTTTTCGGTCAGCGCATAAATTAATGGAATTCCGTAAAAGAAGGCATCCCATGACTTGAGTTATTGTTGATTGTGTTTGCATAGGTGTATTTTATTTCTGTGATTGTCAACCTGTTGTTTATTTACCTTTCTCCATTCTCTCATTTTCTTTTTCTAGTGGTCTAGTTTACTTTTTTGAGCAGTTGATCTTCGTTTGATATAAATGTCAAGAGGATTATTCATTTGTCGACTGTTACATCATTGATATATTGAAGAGTTATAAAAAAATAACTTTGACATTTGTGTCCATCAACAACTTATTTCTGCAAAATGGAGGTCAGTTTCCATGTGAAAAAATTGCCATTCAGGATTTTAGATTGTTCAGCGTCACTCTGTGCATACACTTGTTTTTCGCTCTCTCAAGCGAACTCATGATATGTTTGAAGCTGATCAGAGTCGCCTCCCAGAAATTGACAAAAAAAGGTGCGTGTTAAATGCGATTATTGTTTCCTAGTAATTCTCTAAAAGTCGCTATAAAAGCTAAAGACCAGTATGGTCCAGTTCTAAAAGAACCCAACCAGAATCCACTAAAACCTAAAGAAGGTAATCAAATATTTAGCTCCTACATCTTTTAGCAGCTTCGGACACATCACAATCTGGAGCTATTGTTCCATCTGACAAAGTAAAGCCTAAGTGAGTGTTAGTAATTTGTATAATGAGGAATATTTTGAAGGTCAGCATTGGAGCAAAACTCTTCCGTAGTTCAAATCGGCAATGAAAAGCTACTTCTCCCGAAAAAAGCTCCTACAATGCCCAAACCAACATGGCATCCACCCTGGAAACTGTGTCGCGTAATTAATTGCTTGCTCAATATATTCCTCTTTCAGGTTGTTAGTGGTCATACCGGATGGGTTCGTTGCGTTGCTTTCGATCCAACCAACGATTTCTTTGTTACAGGCGCAGCGGACCGGATGATTAAGGTAATCCTACTTCACATATCTTCACCTTCAAATCTAGGTTTGGGATTTCGCCAGTGGAACATTAAAACTTACACTTACTGGTCATATAAGTACAGTTAGAGGGGTTGTTGTTAGTGCTCGTCACCCCTACTTGTTTTCTTGTGGGGAAGACAAAACTGTCCGCTGTTGGGATTTAGAACAAAATAAGGTATTTGGAGTTAACCTAATAAACGCTTAAATATAAAGGTGATTAGACATTACCATGGACATATGTCTGCTGTTTACGATATTGATCTTCACCCAACAATCGATGTGCTTCTTACATGTGGTCGAGATGCAACTGCACGAGTATGGGACATGAGAACCAAAGTAAGTTATATAGAAAAAATTAAGCCGACTGTATGTTCATTCTGATTTGCTTTTTAAAATTTAATTAGTGAATATAATATTTTCAGACTTTTGTATAAACCAGTTGTAAAAATGAATTCATTTTCACTTGTATCCCGTAATCTCTGAATTAATTTGACGGGTTGTGTCGAAACTAAGCGAATTTATATGAATTAGTGCAGTGTTAATTAATGTCAAAACTCCAAATTTGTATTACAAACTAGTAAATCACTCTTGTATTGTGGAATGAACGCATTCATCATGTAAAATTAGTTAACTGGTTCATGCTAATTGACTTAAATACAATAGGTCATAGGTTTGAACCCCGTTTCACTTGGTTCGCTTTAGTCAACTGAGAGGTATTGTATGCCTCTACTCATATGACTCAAAATCCAAAGCACAAATTTGTACTGGATCATCAAGTTAGTTTTTTTATTAATGGTGTTTAGGACATGTGTTACGCATACCAAGTCATCGCTTTCCCCATCGAGCAATGTTAGATGACATTGAATTAAGTTGGAGAAGAGTCAACGGTGGTCAAATTAAAATCTGGCATAGATCTATGAGTCTTTGATTGTTGGTTTGGCCTACGTAGGAAGATGTAAACTATCTGGCTGTGGTCATTGAAATGCTACGAACCAATGACTGGAAACATTCGGCGATATGGTTTAAAATCATTCTCAGTTATGCAGATACATTCACTTTTTGTAATCTTTTCAATCCACTGAACTCCCATTTCTCTCCATCTACTTAGTTTATGTCGTGCGCATTACTGCCTGTTGTAATCTCTTTGCGTTTTTCCAACCACATTTGCGTGTTTATGAAATATGGCAACTTCATCTGTAGTATTTTTGTGCACAATGCTAGGTTGAAACCCAGTCACTTTTTTACGAAAAAAATAACCACTCACTCTGGTATTATTTCACTGATGAATTTTCTTCGTAATTCAGTTTTTTAACTATTTTATTCTAGGTTAATGTTCATACTTTAACAGGACATTCAAACACAGTAGCAACCGTACGTTGTCAGGAATCTGATCCTCAAGTTATCACTGGTTCTCATGATTCCACCGTTCGCTTGTGGGATTTGGCAGCAGGACGTACTTTAGCTTGTCTTACAAACCACAAGAAATCGGTTCGTGCTGTTTGCATTCATCCAACTCAGTAAGTTTAGATAAAGTTTGATTTTTCCTATTATTAATTCAGATTTTTGAATTAAGTAATGTCCATACTTAACACTAACTAGAACTTGTACATGAAATCATTCATGAAGAACAAAGACTGTAGTAGTAATTCTGTATTAACACGAAAGTTAGAATTCGGACAGTCGATTTTCCGAACTGGCAGTGGGATTATTTTGTATTATTCCGAAAATATATTCACACACAGTATTAATAAAAGTACTACTGGTCATTCTTGCTCACACAAGAATAATAAAAGGAATTAAGACGGTGAATTGAGTTTCAACATCTACCTGTATGCTTAGAAGGCAGATAGAGCTGACTTATGTCTGTAATAAACTTCTCCGTATGAGCATTCAGGATTTATCACATCTCACAGAGCTGACTCTTGTTGAATTTTCTGACCTTCTTGGGAAATATATTTCTTCAACAGTACACACCCACTACCAGGGTTCTAACCCAGGACCTTCTGGTTGCAAGGCGAGCTAGCCCGTAGACCATTAAGGCACTGAGGCCCGATCCAATGGCCTGCCCATGAATTCTAACTTCTGCCAATTCATGACATAGCGCGACCACTTCGCAGTATCTTCTTCGATGAATTACTGCCTCACCTTCAACCTGCTTGTACCCTACTGGCCACGGCTTTCCACTAGAACTCCAGGTAACTGCCTGAATAGGGCCAGTCAGCTCGCGATGAAATTCTCCAACCAATCATATGCCCACTAGCTGCCAGTGAGCGGAATTCTCATATAATCATTGAGATGCGAATAGAGGGAGATATTCAAAAGATTACACCAGATACATTTGTTGTTTTAAGAGTTTTGTAGTGGATTTCAGTGCTGTACTACTTATTTTGCAATTTCGGTTTTTATAACATATTCACTTTGTATATTTTAGGAATGCATTTGTCTCCGGTTCTCCTGATAATATAAAGCAATGGAAACTTCCTAATGGTGTTTTTCTACAAAACCTCTCTGGACATAATGCTATCATAAACACTGTTGCCATTAATCAAGACAATGTGGTCGTCAGTGGAGGTATGCAAATGTTTTTCTTCCAGCTCATAACAATAACTACTTCTTGAATATTTTCTAAATTATTCGACTCAGTACGTCTACTTTCACAAGATTGAATAAATTTTTTGTTTATTTATCGTAGGTGATAATGGCAGCGTTCACTTTTGGGACTGGAAATCAGGTTACAACTTCCAGCGCCTTCAAGCCCAAGTTCAGCCCGGTAGTATCGACTCTGAAGCTGGAATATTTGCCCTAGCTTTTGATCGCAGTGGATCTCGTTTGGTCTCATGTGAAGCGGATAAAACGATTAAAATTTTCAAGGAAGACGAGACAGCGGTAATTATTTTCATTTAATGGTATTTTTCCTTATATAGCTTTCCAGTCCAACACTCATAAGAGAGAATGAGAAGTGTACACCTTCAGAAATTGTTGTACTTATTAGTATTACGTACAACACGACAAGGACAAACTACAATACTCTATACAATCCGATGGCGCTGCTGTCAATTCCGAAAGTCTATGAGCATTAAGTGCCTCATGCATTATATACCTATCTGCATAATAAATTGAAGATGTGTGCTGTTTGATGTTGACTCATTACAACACGTCAACCAATATGCTAATTTCTTATTGGTTTACATCTAAGCGTTATCACTGGTTCTAACCAGTGGCTTAGCACATGTTTGTGCTTTAATCACGTTACAATGGCTTATTGATCTCATTTTTGTAACACGTTCAATGAAGTATACTGGGATCTCATCCTCTACTACCAGCGGGTAAAAGAGTCCTTGCGAGTACGCAACCAAGATTTGTTTTTTAAACAGGTTTTATAAATAGGGCGATATCAAAAGTTTTATTTGTTCTTACTATTACCGTCTACTTCATGTAAAAGTTAATGAAATATACCTATTTATTTTTAGACGGAAGAAACACATCCACTATACTGGCGTCCTGGACTACTAAAGAAGGCCAAATATTGATCCATGTCCATATTACAATTATGTATGATATGAACTCAGAACTTTGTTTTCATGTACAATAAAAAGCTGTTTAAGCATTTTTCTAACACTTGACAGTTTTTTTACTTCTAATGTGAGTATGTAAACAATAATGCTAATGTCCTCAAGTTATATTACTTAGTCACTACAATATAGTGTGTGGCTAATACGTGTATTCTTTATCGCGTAAGATGCAGCTATAAGTTGTGAAACCTTCATTATGATTACAGTGTTGATATTATCATTGGCAAGTGATAATTCGTATAATTTATTCAGTGGTGGTAATAAATGCAATTTTTATAGTTTTAGTAGTAAATATGAATTAGTGCAGTACGTGGACCCAAAGTTAAAAGTGTGGTGGTGGTATGCATTTCTCACTAATAAACCTTGGTCATAAACGTTTGTCTTCAAAAGAAAAACGTCTCTCGTCAACACACGTATATGACTGATTTTATTACTGTATACAAAAAGCTGGATACATAGTTATTCTGTCAATTTTATTTTTTTACAAGGTGTTTCGTCCTTTATAGAGTCAATGTTCTCCTCAGGTTGTTTATGTACAATAGGTTCAACAACAATTGAAGAGACGTTTGGCATGGGCAGGAGCTTAAGAAGTGCAGCCGCACCATGTGCAGTTTTACTCCGCATAAGACCGTGTGTCACGACTGCGAAAGGAGCTTTTGTAAGGCAAGAATGGGTAGCTTCGCGGGGCTGAAGTCCAAGACAACTAAGCATGGCAGATACGGCTACGGGTCGACGAACTTCCCACCCACAAGATGCTCCAGAACTGACGACTATCATGTTGATAAACGATTTTCGTGAGTAGCAAAGTAAGCTGCTGAAATACTGTGATAAAACTGAACGCGCGCTGTGGACACTGGAAGCGGAACGGAGTACAGGCGCAAGTTGGAATTCAAGGTGAATGCCTCGTGACATCATTTGGTTACATTGTTTACTTTGCAGACGGATTTCGCAGGTCTTTGTGAGATCAACTGTTATTAGATCTATATTTAAAGCCTTCTCACAGGCATATACAAGGGCTGCATTTGAGGTTGGACAAAAACTGACAACATCGAAAGCGTTAAGTTTATTCTCAAACTGACGGAAAAATAATCCAGCATTTCCGGCATCATCACACTCTAATGTCAAACGTGTGAAGATTCGTGGTTTGCACGATACTGTAGGTGAACATGCCGATGCTCTGAATGCGCTACTTTCCTTGATATATGTTTCTAGAACTTCTGAAGACGGCGGCTCTAATTTTGCTAGAAGTTCTTGTCGCATTGCTTGTCTCTCTTCTTTGTTTTTCTTTCGAACGACAGAATCTGACTTTACATTGAAATTGAAGTCGTCGATTGATACGCGCTGATTGACTGCTACATACTGATATCCACAATCAAAAAGTCGTGCAAGAAGACATCCATTTACTGCTTCAATGGGAATATCGAGATCGTAATATTTATTATCCATTTCGAAACATGACTACTTAATTTTTGTGTGTTCTAGATTTAATCTTCACAGAAGCATTTAGGTGCTAGCCCCCGAAACCTATAAAAATAGAAAGAAAATCTATTCAGCAGCGTTATAGACAAATAGGACGACTGTAACATGAAGATCCGTATACTAGATGATTCCATACATAGTTTATTAAGTCAGAAGTCTGAAGCTCACTCTCCCTACTGGAAATGAAGTCATATCTCCAACTCCCACTAGTGCTCAAAGCCGCAGGTTTGCTGAGTAACGTTTTCTTGAAAGCAAATAAATCGAAATCAACTAATAGGAGAGGGTAAATAAATTAGATATAATCCTTGGCATTCTTTAAATCAGTTCACTAGTTCGCCTACACTTGTAAAATGCAAGAGCCTAAGTAATTGTCTCTCTCTCCCTGCCATGCAGGTCGGTAAGCTTGAAAACACCAAGTGTTACTGAGAAGTCTCACAGCAAACTCATCATTAAATTGTACAAGGGGAAGCTTTTGAAATGGAGGAACATACTTGGGGATTTCTGAAACAGTCTCATCACAGAACTCTGATTACTAACTTAAATATGATGTAGGCAAACATAAATTAGTAGTTTATCCTGCCGATAATGGATTTTACTTGTTATTTTTGAAGTGCTACGTTTTTAAGTCATTTAGTAAGATTGGTGACCTAGAACTTATATTCGCTCTTGTGAACTCGCTTGTACTCAACTGATTTTTTGTGCAGATGGACAGTTGCTATTGTAGCTGGTGATTTGGTGAGTATGGGTTAGTGTTCACTGTACACTCGAGTTCTGTTTTTTGTATTATTCCTTCCGATTACAGCATGTAAAAGAGGGGTGTTAAGCTTGTAGGGTTTTGAAATATCGAAATATTTGTAGCTGTAGAAGATGATTTCATTAGCGTTGCACTTTGATAACCACTCAGTACAAAAGGCGCAACACAGCTGAAATCGTGGGTTTTTTTAATATTTACTAATGCGAATCACAATTAAAAGGTAAATGTAACGTTTTTCACCTCTAGAATAAATCGTAATGAGCATGGTCTGTCTGTGCATAGTTTCGCTTATGTACTGACTCGCAAGTTGCACTTGATTGGTGAGCCTGTGATACTAACTGGTTGTTTAGGGAAAAACAGAATTTAAGTCTGAGATGTACTGCTTAAATCTCAGTCCACCTCTCCAGAAAGCAATACTCATCAAAGCACGCACAAAATCAGGTAAGACGTCTCTGAACTAAGTTCGGATAACAGCGGTACTACCAGAATTTGGGAAGAGGACGAAAATTCGGGAAAATCAGAAGCAACTTGTAATTTATTTATATACAGAAGTTAATTAATTATTACTTTTCTTATATTAAGTGAATATAATGAGAACAAAGCAATAAAAAGAGATGGAGCAGATTGAAGTGGATGTGTTTTATTTCGTCGGTATCTTTTCAACCGCGTATAACCTGAGTAATGAGAGTTAATAGTTTTACTACAATTTTAATATCAAGTATTACTGAGAACAGAACCTTTAGTAAATCTTTCTCTACCTTGGTAACTCATCTTTTAACCTTAATTGTTAATTTCCTTTCACCATTTCTCAGTTGCATCATCATTTTCTATACTTCATGCCTCATATGTATGATATCGAACTAAGTGAGCTTAGCTCATTTGTTAATTAACAATTTCTACCGACTTACATAATCTTGTAATCTTGGTACCCCAATATCTTGTTGTTACACTCGCTCTCCACCCTTTTGTTTTCTTCGAGAAATTTTGAGCAATTTACATTTATAAATACAACAGTATCTTATATTATACGATCTAGATATCATGATCACTCTGAATTATTGTTCCGCCTCTTATTTCCAATGATCTGAAGTATAAGTATGTAGACCGTAGATGTTACAAATTTCCTAGAATAATCTGAGCGCCGAGTCAAACCGAATCATTATAAATTACTTAAAATAATCCCAGCGTGTTTAAGAGAAAATCAAATCAAGTATGTTAAAATTATAATAAAACTATTAAGTCATTGTTCAGATTGTATGCATTTGGAAAGATACCAACCAAATAAAATAGATCCGTTCCAACCTGCTCCATCTCTTCTTATTAATTTGTTCAAATTCAATAAGGTAAATTCATGTAGAAAATATAATAGGAGTTGTGAATATAGGAACAACTCCCATCTAAAATGATCTCCGATATTTTTAAACTCATTTAACTGTAATCAAGTTTCGATCTAACTATCAGAGTAATGTATACAATAAATAGACTTTAATGTCCGACATAGTTTGATCGTGTACGTATCAGGACCAGATTTATTGATACATTCAGCACTTTCTACATCCCTAAACCTAAAGATGAAAACACCAAATGACTTCCATCGCCTTAAAGTAAGTCTGCTATTTCACAAGCAGATTTAGGTAGTACTTGTATAACAACGGTTGCTAAGACTGTCTCTGGACTGACTAGTTTCAACACTGAACTTTGCACAGGTATGCACCAGTTCGAGTTGCCACACTCCATGTAGCACACAAATCAAGAGAAGAGATTCAAAAAAGAGACAAAACAAAAATATGAGGGAAGAAGAATAGTAATGTGGAAGAAACAACAGAATTATATTGGATTTGATTAATCACAAAGAGCGGATGCATCTGTGCCAGCCATTGGGAACGATTTTGAGCCATATTACCAACTGTCTCTAACCATTGCTTCTTATCATCCCGAGGACCCTAACCAGGAAGTCTAAACCTCCCTGCGTGTATGGTTTAAACTAACCGTTGTGGATTTCATTGACTGATGAAGCCATGTTTTGGTTTGACCACCACTAGCTAACTCTTTTCCAACCTGGTCGTATGTCAGCTAACACTGCCGGTCGTGGAAGGAATGCATAACAAATGTCCTAACCATTTCAATCGGTGTAACTTCACAACCTCATCCTTATCACATCACTGAACACGGGAGACAGAACGCAGACACCTGTGATCAAAGACAGCTGGTCTTTCTGATGACATAAAGTTTGGAAAGTGATAGAATGCGATTTGACTATGGCACCTTCTTGCTCGCTGGAAGATTTGGAAAAGGTCCGTCTCAAGAATGTATATCCCAACATACTCTGCGGCAGTCTGTAGTCCATAGCAGGTTCCTACGTACTGAAGAAACTCATAAAACTTCACCTCCAGACAGACCATATATGACTGGTCTCAAAAAGCCAACTGTGAGCTTCGCGAGAACGCAACGCTTATGCTTTTGCCCTTTCAAGATCTTCAAGTATGAATAAACTTCCACGTGGTGGGAAGCCTGGAAGTACCAACCGTCTACACACTTTTATATGCATATAAAATTCGACTTTCCACTACCTATCTTCATTTTCTAGCTTTTCTATTACAGCTAATAGTATTCTCCAAATAGTTGCCTCGTCTTCCCAAATCTGATTTCCATTGCTGGCGTTCGTAATGTCATAAAACTACGCTACCAATCTCACACTGCAACTCTCGATGTCCGAACTTAATGTCCAATCCAAAAACAGGTTTAACTACAGAAAATTCCAACATCTCTGGCTTTGGAAGTATGCACACACATGTAGCTTTTCCCTTCAGCTC